AAGTGAGAACAATTCCAAGCTGCTTTGATCCATATTCCCACCAAAGGAACATTCGGTGTCTTTTATGTGTTACAAGTGGCATTTGGCCTATTTCTCAAATCAGTGATCAGAGGGACTATAGCTGCATGCGGTGGAGTGTTTGTGTGCGTGCGTGTGTGTGTGTGTGTGTGTCTTGCTCTATACCTGAAGTCACTGTAGGGGTGTATGATCCAGGACCCTGCTGATTTCAGCCTCTCCTGCTCCAGTGCCACAGCCTTGTGGGATCCAAACATGCGCAGGCTGAACTTGTTGACCCCGGGCTGGAGCATGGCTCCAAACTGCCTCTGGATGAAGGTGCTCTGGTTGGAGTTGCTGTAGTCCTCTCCGTCCAGCCCCAGGCCGAACATAGCCAGTCCGGACTGACCCATCATCTCGGGGGTCCCTGCTGCGGTGGTGTTGCAGGTCGTGGTGGTGGTGGTCTCTTGTCCGGTGGCCACCACCATGACTCCTGTACCGGTGGAGGAGGTGGAGGCGAGGGCAGCGCGAGACGCAGCGAAGCCCACTGAGCGTGGCGGAGGGTGGGCTGTGGCCGAAGAGGAGGACGGCGGAGGCGGCAGGGGCACTGGGGTGGTTGGTGTGCCCGCTGTGCGGAAGGGAAGGCCGTCCCGGGTGGAGGAGCTCATGATGGAGAGACGACGACCGCGTCCACCTGAGGAAGTGTTGTCTGCCCCGAAAGAGACCTTCTCCCCCTCCAGCGAGGCCTGCGACAGCCTGTAGCCCGGAGAGGGCAGGCTGCTCTTACTGCGCCGCTTAGAGTCCCCTCCGTTGCGTCTGGGCAGGCTGTCCCCCCCGGACCCCGGGCCGCTGCCGGGTGTCCCCACACCTCCAGCCACCCCATCCATCCCAACTCAGGGCGGAGGAGGAGGAGGGTGAGGGCAGGGTGTTTATGACCTGTACCTCCCTCCCCCTCTGTTAAACCACTCTTTGGTATAGAACCTGTAAGATTAGGTGAGTGTCAGTGTCAGTGGATGATAAAGTGAGGAGGCTCTCAGCTCATTCTTCTGGAGCCGACACACGGCTCACACCTCCGCCCTCTCTCCGCCGATGTGCCCACCCTTACCTCGGTGCCCTTGTTACAAGCCCCATGTAGACATGAAATCGTCCAGCCGGCCACAGTGACGCCAGCAGCTTCACTTCCCTCCTCTGAGCTCCAGGAGTCTGGCTCGTCCTCACTGTTGTGTCTGTAACATTCCTCCTTCCTCGTCCTTGAAACGCTGCTCTCCGCCCGAGGCCCTCCCTCTCCTCTCCACAGCCGCCCTCAACGCTCCGACGCCGGTCATACTGGCTCCTGATTCCCGGTCTTTTGTAGATAACGGAGCTCGCCGCTCATTGGCCGCTGGTGTTGGGTGATGTGTAGCCTATATGTCCGGGCTCCTCACCCGCTTTTGTCAGTTTTTACCATATATCATTATGTAAGGGGTGGGGTGTGAGCGGCAGGGTGGCGGAGTGGATGAATGACAAGGACACTTGATCCTCAGTCAGGAAGAACCGGTGGTTAATGGACAGAAGGGACGCACATCACCGGCGCTCAGACTCCGAGGCGCACTGATCCACCCTGACACGCTCACTGTCCGCAACCACAAAACACGCACACGTTAAAACAAGAGGCGGCGGAGGAACAAGTCACGGATCTAGCCGATGTTTCCACTTGATCCGCGGCACTGAGTCGTTCCTGGTGTCCGAGCGGAATGGAAGGCGCGCCGAGATGTTGCCCACTCGTGACTGAGGCGCTCAGACAGCTGGGGGAGACACCGGTGGCTCCACGGCACAGCAGCGCGATTCTCTCGAACTGAAGCCGGGGTGAAGTTGGTCAGATGCTCAGAGCCTGACGCACGAAACCTCCTGGTGTCTCATGAGCAGCCGCTGCCATTATTCCCACTTCTGGCGACTTTCAATGACATAGTGTCCAGACCACAGGGAGACGGCGGTGTCCTTCCCTCTGATGAAGCACACACAGCGGCGCCACACTTCAGTAAAACAAGCCGCTCCGAGGTGAAGCGCTGCGCTCTGACGAATCCAAACCTCCGCTTCGAAATAATAAAACAACTTGTTGAGCGTTTCAAGGCGCAGGCTGCTCCCGCGCCGACGAGGTCCAGTTTAAATCCACTTCGGCGTTCGCAGCTGGAGCGCACACGGTCACAGAGACGCGCGGCGCATGCAAAAGAAATATTAAATAAATAAATGGTGCATATAAAGGTCTGGACGCAATCGGCCTGTTGCCATGGCATCCGCATCCCTCATCATCCATCTATCACCCCCCTCAAGGCCGCATGCCCGGGCCGGCGAGACGCAAGCATCCCTCGCAGGTACCAGGTCGCGCGTCATCCTCTTTCACGAATACAGAGGAGGGAGTGCGTGATGGGGAAACTTTATTTAAAGCTCGGAAACATAACAAGCCATTTAGTGGTGAACAACATAGTAAGTGACATTAAATGAAATGCAGATCGTGTTTACTAAACGCTGTCGTCAAACTAATAAAGCCGACGTGTTTTATACCTGTGGAATAATAAATGCCCACTTTTATACTCAACCCAGAGCTGATATATGATGGCAGTTAATTTGAAAGTACTTAGTGAATGTTGTGTTTGTGTGCCAGCCAAGCCACCTCATAAATCTGAGATTTATGTGGAAAACACACAGGGGATACTTATAGTGTTGTAAATCACAGATTACTTTTATCTTCTTCAATTGAGTATTTCTGTTTTAATCTACTACATCACCCGAATTTCAGAAGAAAATATTGCATCTGATCGCTGTATTCACTATTTACTTACTTTGCAGATTAAGACCTTCTTGTGCTATACAAATGAATCTAGTAACATGACTTAGTAGAAAATATCATCACTCTAATATATAAAAATAAATGGCTGCATCTATCATAATAGTAATTTACAACCACAGGACCCATTTGAAAGCACTGAGTCAACCACAAAGTTATTTACAGTGGCTACCGTGCTCGGTCTTCATGTAAAAGTGGCTATTAGTGGTAGAGAGAATTTGAGATAAACTGCGGGGAGGAGGATTCTGGCACATCAGAGCTGAAAAGAAAACACCAAAGAAGACAGATGCCGGCAGAACAAAGGCGAGGACGTCACATGAAAGATCATCGAGACATATGAAAACCTCATACAGGAGCAGATATAATTACTTTATGAGAGGACGTTATTCAGACGTGGGCATCTAGGGCATCTCAGTGGACAAAAGGAGGTGCAGTCCAGTACCCGTCATCCCTGAATCTGTCGACACTTCAAAAAAGCCAGAAGAATTGCACCGTCACAGAGATAAGCTTGAGACTATGGACAGAAATGAAAGCTTTATCTCCAAATACTATACAGTCTACCAATGATGATGGACTTCAATAATGGCAAAGAGAAAATATTCACATTCACTTCAACACAATTCTCATGAATAAAGGAGATTGAATGAAAAAGGCTGGATAGCTCAATTAGCTTCAGTCAGAATATGAACATGGTGTTAAAATGATGGTTCAAGTTTTATTTAGAGGGAGTCATTGCTTTTAAAACACACTATACACAAATTCAACCTTCATGAGGACAGTTTCAGTGGCTTAAAATACACTTCAGGTGAAGTAACAGTGATGCTTCTGTCATAATTTTCATGGTGGTTCTCTGGTTTTCATCAACATCATAGGAACAGTCTTACAGAGGCTCTATAAGTCAGAGAAGTGAGAGAGTCCAGGTCCCATCAGGCCGTTACGGGGCGCTGACGGCCCTCATGATGTTAGTGTGACCGGACCCCGGGATCCAGCCCGTCACCACGATCACCATGTCGCCGGGTTTGAAGAAGCCTCTTGCTTTGCCTGTGGAGGTGGGTAGAGAGAAACAGAGAGGTAGTGTGAGTAAGAGAGGATCACAAATAATCAGGCTGCATATAGTGAGACAAACAGCAGACACACACACACACACTTACCGATTTCCATGCCAAATTCGACCCTATCGTCTACGTCGTCAGCCCAGACAGGAGCAGGCAGAGGGTGGAAGAGGACGGGAAACACTCCTCTCAGCAGCTGGGACTGTCGGGCCACCTGAAGAAATGAAGGTTTGTGACATGCTTGAGGGTTTTTCAAGTATTTCATGGTGAATCTGTTTTTTGTTTTTTTGCCTCCACCAAAAACTATTCAATGTATTCCCACACAACCTGGTGGAAGGATGGGACAAGGGCCGAGAAAGGACCCATTCAATTTTGGGGCATATCTTGTTTTATCTAAGAAACCATATTGACTGAGTTTTTCCACACACATCCTCACCACAACCATAATTTACCAACTTTATGTTAGAAATAATTCCAGTGAGAATCTATCCTTAAAAATAGAATCATTAAAAACACATCGATGACACTTTGACTTGAAAATGATGGCGGTCATGATAAGTAGGGTCACAGGGTTGAACTCCTGCACCAGTGGCAGTCCACTCCTGGGCCAGGTCCAGATGTGCAGCTCTGAATCTGACTCTGACCTCTGACCTCCATGTAAAGCGTCTAAGATGTGTGAATACAGGGAGGATGGGTTCTCGTGGAATATCCCCACATGATTTAAAATCACAGGTTATCATGACCTGCTTTAAAAAAGGCTCATGTTTTAAAACAACTGTTCCAGAACAGCGAAGCCAATCTGGCATATTTAGCACTGTCACAATTCACAGCAACAGTCAGTGACAGTAAATAGTGACAGCATCACATATTGTTCTGCTTTCAAAAGTGTGATTAACAGTGCGGTCATATTTCTGGCAGGACAAACACAAAGGTAGTCGACACAAAGGACGTTCTGCTGTCGAGTCCACAGGAGCAGACGGTACCTGAGGGCTTCTGGTGACGGCGATGATGGGACAGCGAGGTCTGTATCTGGACAGGAGGTGTGCCGATCTGAGGAGGAGAGAGTGATGAGGAGGGAAAAAGAATGATCAATGCTGACTCACGTGAGCAATGTTTCCATAGATCGGTACATGCAGAATAAAAGAAAAAACCCATGTCATGAGTTTCCAGAATAAATTCAATTATTCTTAAGTCAATACCTGACACAAACTCTGGAATATGTCCAGATAATTGGGTCCGGACATCGTCCAGAATTTGCCTTAAACATGTGAAGAATTCAGCAGGAGAATGTCAGAGTCAGACGTGTTTCAATGACATTTACTCAAGGGGTGGCATTTGGATAGAGTATGCAAAAGACAAGACATGACGTATAGAGCACATTTTTTATTAACGTCAACCGCATTGAATCGTTGTTCGTGTTTTCTATGTTTTCAGCACCTCTTTTTCATCCCCAGATATTTGTATTCTTCCATCTTTGCATCTGTCACGTATTAGAAATGTCACCGATGCTCACCACTTCCTGTTCGCTTCTCACATTCTCTCTGACATTTTACAGACATTTTACCAGGGGGCTGGCAGGAAAATATCTGGAAAATGTCTGATGCAACTAACTGGGACAATTTATCTTAGTTTAGCACAAAGATTCAAATAGGTCAGACTAGATAAAAACACCCAGCTCACTGATTGACATTATATATCTTGTTTGGTAAATTTAATCAAAAAGCAATGTCTACAAAATGTTTACCACTTTATAGGAGGTTACAGTATATAATATTTCAAAGTCAGAAACGGATGGAAGGTAAACAGCAAAGACTCCGGGAAGTTACTGGCCCCTTCCAAGTGATAGTCAGGCACATAGACCTCATGAATTGAATTCAACTAATGAGCTTTAGAGGTGCTTGTGGCCAAAATTCATTAGTTTAGGAATGGAAAAGAAGCCTCTTGCATGAGAAAAGAAACATATGAATATAAAATAATATAATAATATGTATAACTAAGTCCACTTTTCTTACATAATCAGACCAGGATGACTGAGAATCTTCACAGAATACATGGACCTATATGAGTAAACTACATTAAGCCAGCTATTGGTTCCAGGCACACATTTAATGCTCATACACGGGTTGTATCAGTTTAAAAAACATGCCAGTGAACAATTGTGCAGTGTTGACGTTCTTGCATGGCTACACCATTACACAGTACACACCTGCCACTGATGGTGAGGACTATGATGGCCCCGGCACAGCATTTGAAGGAGGACTCTACAGCTCCGATGGCTGTGACCTCTGTGGGATCAGAGGAGAGCGGAGTGAGGCGACGCAACTCCTCAAATAGCTGCTGGTGGAAAATGGCTGCCTCTGCCTCCCTGCAGATCTGAGAGACAGAGAGTGAGGCCAGTGGGGGAGAGAGAGGGGGGAGAGAGAGTTATCAGAGGGCACCAAGTCAGATTTAACGGAATGGACATTGTGCACACACACTCGCACAGAAACACACACCGAGTGCATCATTGCTACAGCCTCCACAGGAAACAGTCCCTTGGCCGTCTCCCCAGATAACATTACACAGTCGGCTCCGTCCAGCACTGCGTTGGCGACGTCACTGCCCTCTGCTCTAGTTGGCCGTGGGTGGGCCACCATGCTCTCCAGCATCTACACACACACATAACCGCCACACAAACACAAACACCAACATATTAGCTGCATGTTCGTCTCGTAGCCACAACCAGAATGTCTCCATCAGGCAATGCAAAGGGATGTGATCAGTCAATCCATCAAACATAAGCCACTTTGTATTTAAAGACTCCATTTTCTTGTCTGAGATGAGAACGTGACATGAGGCATACAAGCTTTAGGGAGAGAATGACGAAAGGAGCTAATGGATTTGTGGATGAATGGACATCAGGGGAAGAGAAATGAGAGATCATTTAGATTGAGGCTGGCCAGTATGACTTGGCGGGATCATTACTGGCATACCGGAGACTCAGCATTATGAGTCAATAAGCAAGGCAGACGGATGGAAAATGAGACAGCTCACAGCAATGCCTGAGACAGCTTTTTGTAGTAGTCGTGAAGCTGCATCTAATGCTGATTAGTGTGTGTGGGGAGGGGGTGGGTGTTGTTTGTGGTCTCAGGTCTCCAGTAGCAAAACCTGCTACAACGCTGTCACTCTGAGTCAAGAGCTGTAGCATAAACAAGATATAGCACTGTGACTCAACATGGCTGCAGGAATATGCATCTGTGTGTGTGTGTGTGTGTGTGTGTGTGTGT